GATTAAGCTAACCAAGGGTTAGCGAGAATTTTGATTTGAGTTTTGTAACTTTTCGGTGAGGTTTTCTGTTCATATTGTTTATCCTTTAGTGTTGAATTTGAATAATATCAAACTATAAAAACCATACGCACTGAAAAACATTTATATCCAAGAAAAATTTATACTTTGATTAACTTTTAATCGTGGGTCAGCGTTAACCGGCTTTCGAACAACCCGGTCCTGACGTATAGGTTAACAATACGGCAGCATGTTACCACTAATTAACATGTAATTATGAGCTCGCGCAGTTTCCTAACCCTTTTAAAAACATTGCGCGTGACTACCTACAGCAGCAACTGCAAGACAAGCTATCTATGTGTAGAACGACCAAATGTTTCATTTTTTGTTGGCTATATATATTTATTTATTTAATTATTTGTTTATTTAAACATTTATTTAATAATTTTCTATTTCAGTTGATTTGTTGCCACTGACGATTCGACTTAACTTAGGATACAGAGTCTCAAATGGAGCAATATTAAGTCATAATATTATTTGGGTGCACAGAAGACAACTGTACTAACTGTACTAACGTTAGTAGTATATTACTATCTGTAGGAGACAACATATTTAGTACAAAGGCCGACGTAAAACACTTACCCTGCTTCTCCTTGAGATCCATTGTTGTGGACTTCTTAGCGAAAGCAAAGCAACATTTGGACAAGAGACACAAAGAGATTTTTTTCAGTCAGTGTTATCAGCGAAATTTTAATCACAGCATTGTTAAGAATGTAGTACCTTAATAAACGAAGCCACAGTGCCGGTTGAATGTGAGATGAATGTCTCGTCTCAAAATCCGATACTTGATACAGTAGGAAGAAAAAACAACAGCAACAGCAACAGCAACAACAACAACAACAACAACAACAACAACAACAACAACAACAACAACAACAAAAACACACACACAAAAACACAAAAACACAGGGAAATATCCCACATCCATGCATGCCGTCACATATAAGCCAAATATAACACCTCAAAGGAGTTGTTGAATACTCAAGGTTCTATTGACGAGCACCCAATTAGGTAGAAAATACTGTGGTATTAAAGTGTGTGATGCAGAGATTCTGGAGAACATTACTTGTTATGAACATCAATAAAATGATGCTCAGGCAGTTGTCCGGCACAGCTGTTTCACAGTAACTAAAAAGTACTATAATTGCTCTGCCTGGATTTCTTACATCTGCCATAATAAAGCGGCTCTAAGGTAAAACACCCACCTTTAGGGTCCCTCTTTTTACACATCCCTTTTCTGTACACATACCAAGCTACAGCTCCAGCGACAGCCAGCACAACAACTACCCCCGAGATGACACCAAGAATAATCAACGTCGTATCTACAAAATGCAACATTCACTTTACATCAGGGTGGTTTTAACTTGGTCACCCATGGCCCTTTTTCTTTTCAAACTAACTCCTCTTATTTACAAGAGGTAGATTTGTTATCCACGATAAAGTTGATTTCTAATGAGTTGCACACGTAGCCATTAAGAAATCAACTTGCAATGGTAATACTACAAGAGAACAATCAATTAACTATGGAAGTTACAGCTGCCATTGCTGTAAAATTTAGAAACTAATGGCGAAAACAAGAGGCCTGATGTTTACTACACTAGACAAAAGATCGCCCAGCGGTCTAGAGTTTTAGCCTGGCCCGAGTTTCAAATCTTATGTCTTTGGGCAGTATTCTTAATACCTACATCAAGGCTCTGACAATTAATCTCGAGCAGTCAGATTAGTTTGAAATTTGTCATGTTTTACTTAGTTAATGTTTGTGAAATTATACAATGGACTGCTTACTGTCAGATGAGCTGGTAGGTGTTGTGGCCATGGTGGCTGGTATCCCAGTGTCTCGTGTGCCTGTTATGGCCATCACACAAAGATCTCCAAACTTTTCATTATTGGCAGCATCTCGAAGTATAGAAAGAACCACACTTTCTCTTACAGTGGAACTGAACTTCAGGGCCAGATTAACGATCCCACTGTCACACCTTGAAAGAAAAACAGCGACACACGTTTGGTCATCAAACTGAAATGATGACCAAAATGAACAGAGGCTTCTTTCACTTCACAAACTCTCAGATGGTCAAAACTCCCACTAAACAAAGCGTTTGAACAACAATTAATGATGTGGAACGAATTTCTATCGATACTACGCATGTGTAATCGTTAAAGCTCATTTTGTGTTTGACGTTCCAGTTCTTACACAGATAAGTTTGTTACCCGTTAGATTTTTTCGTTTGTCTCTCTGTGCAATGAGTAACAAGAGAGAATGAGTTTATGGAGAATGCATTGTTCGATGAAACAGTCAAAACCGGTTATATCAAATCAAGCCAAGGGAAAAAATATTTTGTGTGTATGAGTAATCGTTCGTTAAACCCAACCAAAACCTATGCGCATTTGTTTAACACTCT